GAAGTAAGTGTTGTCCTCTTTGCATAGCTTCCGAAAGGAGGGGGGGTTGAGGATATGGGGCTTTCGGATATTTTCAGATACCCCGAAGCCATCTTCTGCTTATCGGAGGGCTTGGCGATGCTAGGTTGCGGAGTAATGACAATGAGTCTTTCGGGGCTGCGGCTTCAAAAAGCACAGGACCCAGGCCAAAATAAGCCACACCAGGATAGATGAGGCTATCTTAAGCTACACCCCAGCTGCCCCAATCTTGAATTTCCCTTCTGGCAAGGATCTATTCATGAATACTGTTGCCGGAGCTGAGCCCTTCAATCCAAACCAAAGCAGGCTTTGTCGAGGGACCCTTCAAGCCAGATTAGGGCTCTATCAAGGGCTTGAATAGTTAGAACCGGGACTAAAACGGAATACCCAACACCGCAAACCCTAAACGCTAGCCTCCTTGAGTTTCCGGTTGAAAGATGTGGTCAAGGGTCCCATGACATGGGTGTGCATTGTTTTGGGCAGACCCTGCGAAGCCCTCGCCCCTAAAAACCTAAACCCGAACCCCCGGCAACAGGATGGACGGCAAGTTCAAGTGGCTTCGGGGTGTCCTTGCCGGAGACGGCTGCGACTTGGACTTTTCCGTCCAAAGCTGCGGGGGAAGGCAATCCTAGACGGATGTCATCATAGCAGGAGTTTATAGTTGTAGTTCGAGAAAGACCAGCACCATGACTCTGAAGCCTCTTTCGAACATTCTGCAGATGCTATCGAACATCCGGGCATACACACACACACACAGACACACACGCACAAATTGGAGGGCCCGAATCTCGAGAAACGTAACTCAAAGCCCTGAAGCTTTGAAACTCTGGATCCTTGTTTCCCGGAAGCTCCCCAAAGCCCTGGGTTGTTGATTGTTTTTGGTACAATATAGGGGCCTTAAATAGCCCACTATACCGTACTTACAATTAGGAATCCCCACGATAGTATTGGTAATAGCTTAGGCCCCGACATTATTTTTGTTAGGAACTCTAGGGGATAATCTCTCTTTGTGGCACCTTGACTTCAGGTATCTATGGCATCCCTTCCCATGCCGACACGGTGCTGAAGATCGTCCCCAGCACAGGACGTACGCAGCGGAAGCCGGAGCTTGCAATGGGTGCTACTCTAACAGTAGCAGTACTAGTAATAAGAACAATCATAAGGTTTTAGTAAGAGCATGTATAATAGTAATAGTATGACCAGCGCTAACGATAGTAGTACCAGCAATTGTGAAAATGATCATGATCGTAGTGGTTCTTACTTTTTAGTCGTGGTAGTACTAGTCGTCTGTCTTTTATGGCGAGAGGTAGCAGCTGCAGCAGTTGCAGATCACGGCTTCAGCTGGTCTGATTCCAGACTCCCTTTCTTTCCTGGGATGCGGCTTACGCTTTACAAGTATGATCCCCGGATGCAAAGCCTGCAGGTGCAGTACAATACAGGGATAAAGCAGAGTGGTGCAAAGCTCTGAGGCTCTCGCCGTGGCCATGAAGGTTCAATTAGCCCTGTCCCATGAACCCCAGCCTTTCGAATGCCATGTGCTCAAAGCCCAAGTGCCAAATCCAAAGCCCTAAACCCTGAACCCTAGGGACCCTAAACCCGAACCCCTAAACCCTAAAGCCCTAAAGCCCTAAAGCCCTAAAGGCCTGAAGCCTCGCCAGCCCTGAACCCAAACCCTGAAACCCCAAACCCTATACTATACCGAAACCCTACAAGCCTAAATGCCTCAATTTAGCCCTGCTTGGGGTTTAGGGCTTAGCCCTGTTTAGGGTTTAGCCTTGTTTAGGGTTTAGGCTCTTAGGGTTCAGCCCTGCCTAACGCCGACGGCGTTGCAGGAGACGTCCTCCAGCTTGGGCAGGTACCCAGCGGCCGATGGAAGCCGCTGGAAGCACTTGGAGCCGGAAGGGTCCTGAGTTAAGGTTTCGTGTCAGGGTTGCGGTAAAGGTTTAGGGTTTAGGGTTTAGGGTTTAGGGTTTAGACAGGCAGGGTTAGCCAAATTCAGGAGTGTAGCAAAGGGAAGAAGTGACCAACTCTTCGTAGTGTCTGTCATCATGAACAGTCGTAGCAGTGAGTGCTACAGTTCTGCCAGCACCAGCACGGTACTGAAGATTGCAGAGGTGGCACGGCGGTGTGCTGGGCACGGATGGTGCGATCTACGGCATCCCTTGCAACGCAAGGGCCACGGCATGGTCTCGGCTAGTAGGCAGAGAGTGATTCTAGTCGGAATGGCTGGAGGCATCCGCACGGCCCTAAACCTGACACCCTGAACTGACCTCAACGCCACCCGAAAGCCCTGATCCTTTCAGGCTCGAGGGGTGCTCAAGATCGTGCCGCAAACTGGAGAGGTGCGGCTCTTGTATAGGGGCTTCAGGGAAACCCTAAAGCCTACACCTTCAGGTGTAGCTCATTAGACCATGGCCTTCAGCGAGAGCTGAAGAGCCACGAGTTGGGGGTTTACGGCTTAAGGGTTTAAGGGTTTCAGGGTCTGGGGTTAGGATGTTTAGCTCCCGTTTAGGTTGCTTCGGAGATTTAACTCCGGAGCAAAATAGGGGTATCGGAGCAGAGAGAAGTTTACACTAAGATGGGGCCCAGCTAGCAAGGCAAGATTCCTTGTTGTAAGGACTGCCGAAGAGCACCCAAAAGTCGTCATCCAGCCCTAAAAGACCAAAGGATACCGAAAGCAAGTGGATCTGGGTTCCGGGATGAAGGGTTCAAGGTGTTAGAAAGGGGGTAGGGTTCAGTTGGAGGCCGGGATTCAGGGAATGCAGAGTTGTACGCTTTTGGGAGTTTAGGCTTAGGTTTTAGGCTTTTTCGGGCTTTTGGATTTAGCGGCTGGGGGTTCAGAGCTTTTCCATTTCTGTGTGGCCCGATCAGGTGAGCATTCTGGGAGACCTTCCCGAGGGACCCAACAAGTGGTACGGCGCATCTGCGAGCAATCTGGGCATGACGACGCTAGGGCTAGGGTGTAGAGCATAGAGTCTTGGGGAATGGCATGCTTGAAATAGTCATAAGTGTAGCAAGACCGTCTTGTACACAAAGAGAATGAGTGGAGTTCTAAGTCCTTTCATATGAGCTATAAGTATAGTTTTCCTCCTTATGACCCTACTTATAGCTAACCATGAACCTCCAAGTAGGGTAGGTGCAATCGGTGTAGTAAGTGTAGCAGGTGTTGTAGGGTGTAGTAGGGTGTATGTAGTAGGGCGTATAGTAGCAGTAGTAATACCAGTAGCAGTAGTAGTAGTAGTAGTAGTAGTAGTAGTAGTAGTAGTGATAGTAGTAGTAGAAGTAGTAGGAGTAGCGGTAGCCGTAGCAGTAGCAGTAGCCGTAGCCGAAGCCGTAGCCGTAGCAGTAGCCGAAGCAGTAGCAGTAGCAGTGGCAGTAGCAGTAGCAGTAGCAGTAGCAGTAGCAGTAGCAGTGCAGTAGCAGTAGCAGTAGCAGTAGGATTAGCAGCAGTAGAAGTAGTAGTAGTAGTAGTAGTAGTAGTAGTA